TTCTCGCACTTCCAGTAGCCCTTTAGGATAAATTTCCTTTTCTCAAAACTTAGTCTTGCTTCTGCCATTACTTCAAATCAGTTGCACCTGTAAAGACAGAAAGTTTAAGTGAGTTATAGGCTTTAAAAGATTCTACACTTGTCTTCTTTAACTTGAATTATAAAACTTAGATATATCTTAATAAACATTGTATTTATAAGCATTTAAAGATGTATACATTTTTGGGACACCCTGTAGTTATCGTACCCATCAAATATTTATCATTACTTTTATTCAAACCTTCTAAATTATGATTTCCAAGAAAGTATCTTAATCATAAGACAATATCATTAAAAAATTGAATTATTTTACATTTTTTAAATTTAGTCAAAGCAAAGGGTATTTTGAATGTTTCAAACTAATATTTTGAATAAATGAATAATAGGGTTAAACAGTTAATGAAAGGTAACTGGTGTTTTAATTATTGACTTATAGTCTACGCTTTTGATACTCTAAGGACTCAAAAATTGACCATATCTATGATTTTTTTTCGCTAGTTATAATATAATCTTATACAACCATAGGAAAACCCCAGAGTCTAGTATAGTTATTGAAATGCAGACTAAGTGTCATATATATTAACGAATATCGAGGCTGCTACTTAGTTGTTGGAAAGGTACACTCCGACTAAATTATTTTAAGAACTTGACGTTGACAATAACATGCATTTACACTGCAAACTAATTTACATCGCTTGAACTGTTGGAAGAAAAAAACGTTTTTGTTTAAAAGCTATACTGAGAAATACAACGTATATTATTTGCATGAGATGTCAATTTCTATAGCTCGTGCTTTTTGTGATACAAATATTATTTGATGTATTTCTGTATTCCTTCAGCTTTCATAGAGAATTGCTTTTAAAATATCAACTTCATTCAGTCATTGAACATATTCATTAATCTTGACTAAAATCTTCAAGCGATATTCATTATTACACTTGACAATTGAGTAACTCACTGCTTTACCTTTTCTTTTGTATTTAGAATGACAGTCACTATATTTCTGGTGGCGCTGCTGCTCTGCTTCAGTGAGTTTACGTATCAAACGTCAAACAATGACGAGAAAACGCTACTAACTTTGATTCGAAACAGAAAGGCCAGCGTTAGTGCGACATCCATCAGATGTAGAAAATATCTTACTTACAGGCTATGCAGTGAGTAGTTGTAGTTTTTAAGAGTGTATTTGTATTAGAAATTTGATAATGGGTAAAAATATATTGCGTTATATAATATATATATTCACACGATATTGTGCAGTATACAAAATTGTAATTATTACGAATTTTCACGTACGTACTGCGCAGTTGAAAAATAGTAATTTCTGTCTTCATCTTAAAAATTTATATAAGTTTAAGTGCCAGTTGGTTAAGAGGGACCAATCACAGCACAGGATACTTACTGTATCTCGGTGAGAGCAAAACATGACCGAGTTGTAATACTCCGTAATATACAGTGGTGGAAAAAATGATTACATCACCCAATTTCTTCCACACCTTACATGGTTCCCGCAATTTTGTACAAGATTGTGTATTGTAGAAGTGTCAGAACTAGTATGAAGCGGTTATGTGTGATCTAAGATGACTAATGTTCCATTCATCCATTCACACATAAATGTATCTTTATTAATAAACCAATCATAAGAAACGTATTACAGCAGATAATAAGCAAATACTTGACAAATACAAAAATGTTATCTGAGTACGAAAACCAATATTTAAAGATAACAACAGTAATGTGATTGACAAAAAGTGGTCACAGAGTCTGTTTTTTGTTATATTATTTGGTTATTCCCCCTTCTGGTATTGGTAACTTTTCACATCGCCATGGCATAGAGTTCACGGGGGTCTAAATGTTGGCAGGGTGATTAGGACTTCCTGCACTACCAAGATGCTTCTCTGTTTCTTCTCTTGCACTTTGTTTCCCATTACCTTCCAGTAAGTTTCGATAGGGTTGAGATCTGGGCTGTTGACTGGCCAGTGTAGTGTCTTGATCGTCTCCCTTGGAAGATTATCCTTCACCTGAAGTAATGAAATATAACCTAAGATGCCGTTTCAATACATGTAGAGTGAACTTTCCTCTTTATTTCACGCCTACTACATGAATGTTACCAACCTTTTTAATCCTGTTGCATGGAGCATAATCATCCTGAAATGTACACTGATCAGTTCCACTGAAATGATCCCGAATTATTGGCTTTAACCGGAACTCGAGAATCTTGATGTATTTGTCGGCATTGACAGTGCCTTTTACAAAATACGGGCGTCCAACACCATGGCCAGAGATGTATCCTCATACCACCTGACTTTGTAGATGCTTCACAGTTGCATTCAAACATGTTGGATGAAACTGTTCACCACATCGACATCATACAAAGTGCTTCCCATCAGACCCGTGCAGTTTGAACTTTGATTTGTCTGAGAAAATAACTTTTCTCCACATTGATTCTGTCCACTCAGCATGATCTCTTTGGCTCAATTGAGCCTCATCTTGTTGGTGAGGAGGGATTTCTTCCTTGACCATTTTGCTGGGAGACTGGCTGCACACAGGCAAGACCAGATAGTGTGTGTGCGGTGACAGCGACCCCTGAAGTTTCTTGTCCTGCTCTTGTGAGATCTGTAGGCAACAGTCGACGACTCTGCAGGTTCGTGCGTTTCAGAATACGGTCTTCATCTACTTATGGAAGCTTTCTCCTTCCCTTCCGCCACTACACAGCTGCTCTGTATCCAGCTGCTCACAGTAGTCTGGTTAAATTAAATCTTCTAGCAGTATGCTTTGTCGAAAACGTCTTTTTGCTAAAGAAACAATGACTGTTTCTTCCCCGTGGAGATAATGCACAACTATTAGCCATGGTAACATCACACGCCCATTGTAGCAGATAAGCTTCTAAAACTGACTCTCAGTAAGGACCTCTATTTATAGCCCCCAAACGGCTCATGCTATACATAAACATACTTTAAAGCTGCTGATGTAATAATTAGACAGTAATACATCATCCATGAAACACATTTGCACTTACATGCACCAAGACCTCAAAACAGACGATGATTCTAAAGAAAAGAAAACATTAGACGATGCAATACATTTTTTCCACCACTGTATGTCTCAAAAATCCTCGTTATAGCCTAATGAATATTTTAATAACACTGAAACAGAAAGGTTTGAAGCGTAATGAAACAAGTTTAGAGTTGTTCGTTTCTTTGGAGTGAACACTAATAGTTATTAATAATTTGTTAAACAAGAGTAGAAAATAAAACCCATTTTATTAATTTATATAGAAATAATATGATAATAGTACGGGCCTAATTATTTATTGTAGGTATAAATAATTTAAGAATAACTATAAACTGAAAGAAAATTAGTATACATTACAAAAAGCTAAATCTTAAAACAACCGAAATACAGCACTTGCGTGAATAAAACACGCAACGACGACGTTACCTAGCTAAATTCCTTATGCACGTAACAACTATAATTATACAGAGTCCCAAAAATAATAGAAGTAAATGTGTATATATATATATATATTAAATTTTGTGAAATTATTAGCCTATGAAAGCGCTAATTTTGTTTAGAATATATGTATATTCAAGTTACTAGGCTTAGGGCTTTGTCTTTAATATTTACTAGGCTTAAGGCTTCGTCATTGATAGTTACTAGGCTTAGAGCTTCGTCTTTGATTGTTACTAGGCTTAGGGCTTCGTCTTTGACAGTTACTAGGCTTAGAGCTTCGTCTTTGATAGTTACTAGGCTTAGAGCTTCGTCATTGATATAGTGTATTTACTCCAACAGTTCTTCCTCCTCCTACCAGGATTAAAGCAATCAGTTGTATAGAAAATGGCACGTCAGATGTATCTACGTACAAAGTAAGTTTCGTCTGTAGCTAGATCATAATCATTCCAAGTTTAGAAGTGTAAAACTTGACAAACAGACTTTGATGTTGCCATGTACGATTCAACTTTCAAGACTGTTCTCTGCTAGCTATTGAAATCTTGTTTAATTTATTGTTTCTTCGCTATAATGATGAAAGTTGTAAGAAAGTATGATACACTAAAGGTATAGCTGGTAGTGGGTAGTAAAAAACCGTAATATGAATTTGGTGATGTAAAATTAAGAGCAACGGTGAAAGAGAGTACCTTAAGTGTATATATATATATTGTGCGTCATCGAGGTCACGTGACTGGCGTGGCGCCCTCTAGTTTCTAGAACTATCTTGTTCTTTCAGGAATGCTCTAGTATTTACTAGATAGGGTAGTCGGGTATATATAAG